AGATGTCTCAGAACACCCAAGAGCTCGGGGCAGTGACTCCCTCACAGAGAACACAGACCTGGGGGTCTCCAGGAAGAGGGTGGGTTCAGTCTCGAGGAGAGGGTGGGCAGAGGGAATATAGCCTTTCGAGAAGGAAGGAGGAATAAACCTGAACTGCTAGAAGACAAGCACGGCAGGCACTGGCTTTGAACTAGTCAGAAGTGAAGGCCACATAAGGCCCAGCATGGGGTAGAAGCAGACAGGAATCTTGGTGAGTCCTGAGGTTTGTGCAGACACTGGGAATTAGGTAGAGATCAGAACTTGGGAGGGCTGAGAGATCAGGCAGAAGTTATGGGAAGAAAAAAGAGGAGAACCTGAGAGAACCTACTGTCCTGACCTCAAGTATGCAGGGAGGGCCCAGGCAAAGCTCATTTAGCCCAAGGGCAGGGATTGAGGAAACAGACTGAGCAAACAGTCCTAGAGAAGGACTGGATAAAGGCCTCTCAGGGCCAAACACAGACTGCCTCTCTTGGCCTGAACATGGTTCTAAGCCCTCTTCCCACCCCCAGGCACAAGGGGTTCCCACCCTGGGCTAGGACCTGGAAACAAGAGATTGAAAGACTTGGCAAATAGGCGGCCTCAATCTAGTGTTTGACCACATAGGGCATCAGAGACAGCCCTGCCAATCCAACTGCTGCCTGGGTGGAGTTCAAGTTTGCAGGAAAAAGAGCGGACATTGACCCCAGTGAGGGGCACTGACCACCTGCAGAGGCCCAGCTGACACTCAGGGCTTCAGAATCAGACGGTGCCCATGGGCCCAGCAATACCTTCCCACCACCTGAAGAAGTTCCCGTTGGAAAGCACACCCTCACCATGTCCTCAGGCCATGCCTTGTGGCTGCCCCAGAATTCCTGCCCACCACTCAAGATTCCAGGCAGGTACTTTGTCCTCTATATAAGAAGCATAAGTACCACCTAAAGCACTCTTAGGAAGGCAAATCTTACAAATGATTCTCATCAGCCCATTAAAGCAAGTCCCTCAAGGACTTTTTGTTGGGGCAAGTTAAGGACACCTGAAATCTATGAAAGTGACTTTTAAAAAGTCTTCTGGCCACCCAAACTTATTGGAAGTCCAGCCTACGGTCTAAAAAAGAGGTAGTTGCTCCCTCCATCCTCCCCCAGCTCTCCATCTGCCCCCTTACCTGTGATGGTGACAGAGCCATGTGCGTCCTGCTTCAGCACCGGGTTGCGCACCAGGCAGCTG